TTTCTCCGAACCGTCTCCTTCTTTGCTGTTCTTCCAGAAACGCACAAACAAATCTCTTGGAGTCGGCAACTTCAAGGCCGCAACGTATGTAATCAGACCCTCGCTGCCTCGGAATACTCGGCGCCAGTGCTCATAATTGTTTTGGGCGTGCTCCAAATCGTTTGGTGTCTTGGTGGTCTCCTTCAGCGCGCCCCGCCAATATGAAACCGGTTTGATGGCGCGCCTCATGTGTTTGGTGGTGCGTTTCTTCCCCATTGCGTCTCAGCCTCGCCAAGGCAGCGGGGGGCAGGGCAATGCACCTTTCAGTAAGAATGCCTGGAGCCCCAGGCTACGGAAGGGGATGGCGCTGAGAACGGCGACAGACAACGCATGATTACGTTCGTAAATCCGCTCCCCCCCCCCGCCTGCCGAGGGTGAAGTCGCGTGTTTGGCGCTTCATTGTCACTTGTGTTGCTACTGGGTCCGAAGGCACTTCCCGGCTGCAACTTCTGATGGTCATTTTGTTCCTGCTCCTCAGTAGCGGCCGCGGGCGATCCGCGGACGAACGGGGAAAAGGCCCTCGCCGCGGAGGGGCGGCGGGCGAACGAGGATGCGAGAAACTTCCCAAAGACCGTCGGGGAGAATTTCGAGATCCGTGGCGCGGCGGCCGCTGGCCCCCTCGCGCGCAGTCTTCCCGAGGTTCCGAGCCTCAGCCTCAGAAGGGCCTAACGCGGCCCAACTTCGCTCCAGGTCAACTCCTGGGGGCTTTCTCCTGCTGCTGCTGCTGCTGCTGCTCCCCCCCCCCCCCTCTTCCTCCTCCTCCTCCTCCTCCTCCCACCCCCTTGGATCTTGAGTGACGTTCTTTGCCGGTCGATGCGATCCGCCTTTGCTGCGCAATGGCCTCTTGTGGGCACAGTAGCAGTACAGCGGTGATCATATCGCATTTTCTCTTAGGTTTCACGCTTTATTGTGTTGCTACCGCGTTCGCTTGTGTCACTGTGCTGCTACTGGGTCACAGGGCCCGCTGTGTTGCTACTGGGTCGGGGAAACTCACCTGGCAAATCCTCGTCACACTCCCCTGTGTTGCTACTGGTCCGAGGGCACTTCCCGATTGCAATTTCTTGATCCTGCTGCTCTTCCTCATCTTCCTCATCCTCCTCCCACCCTGGGGCTCTCGAGTGGCGTTCGTTGCCAATCAATGCGGTTCGCCTTTGTTGCGAAGCTGTTTCTTTTTGGTCCCAGTAGCAACACGGTGGTGGTCATATCGAATTTTCACTGCTGCGCTGCTACTGGGTCGGATTCTACTGCTGTGTTGCTACCAGGTCGGATTCAACACTGCTGCGTTGCTACTGGGTCGGATTCAACACTGCTGTGTTGCTACTGGGTCGTGTTCAACACTGCTGTGTTGCTACTGGGCCGGCTTATATTACTGTGTTGCTACTGGGTCGCATTCAACGCTACAGTGTTGCTACCTGGTCGGATTCTACTGTTGTCTTGCTACTGGTCAGATTATATTGTGCTGTGTTGATCGTTTGTAGAAAAGCTCTGTGGTGGAGGAGGTGGAAAGGGTGGGTGGAGGAAAAGCAATGATATCATGCGGGGCATAACGCTGGCAATATAGAATGGGGCGTTCGTGTGAAAATGCTATGCACACACATGTTGCAACCGGTTACATGAGCAACGCAAGTACCAATGCAATGGACGTTGAAAAACTAAGCTTAATTCTGAAACATATGCTTGAAAAACAAAGTTCGAAACCCATGATAAACCCTGACCTTGAAATGCAAGCATCCGGGACCATTGGGTAGTCCTGAGGCCAATCCGGGTCGTTCGGGCATAGTCCTGAGGCCAATCCGGGTCGTTCGGGCATAGTCCTGAGGCTGATCCGGGTCGTGTAGTCCTGAGGCCAATCCGGGTCGTTCGGGCATAGTCCTGAGGCTAATCCGGGTCGTTCGGGCATAGTCCTGGGGCCAATCCGGATCGTTCGGGCGTAGTCCTGAGGCTAATCCGGGTCGTTCGGGCAAAGTCCTGAGGCCAATCCGGGTCGTTCGGGCATAGTCCTGAGGCCAATCTAGGTCGTTCGGGCATAGTTCTTGAGGCCAATCCAGTTCGTTCGGGCATAGTCCTGAAGCCAATCTGGGTGGTTCGGGCATAGCCCTGAGGCAAATCCGGGCCGTTCGGGCATAGTCCTGAGGCCAATCCATGTCGTTCGGGCATAGTCCTGAGGCCAATCCGGCTCGTTCGGGCATAGTCCTGAGGCGAATCCGGGTCGTTCGGGCATAGTCCTGAGGCCAACCCGGGTCGTTCGGGCATAGTCCTGGGGCCAATCCGGGTCGTTCGGGCATCGTCCTGAGGCCAATCCGGGTCGTTCGGGCATAGTCCTGAGGCCAATCCGGGTCGTCCGGGCATAGTCTTGAGGCCAACCCGGGTCGTTCGGGCATAGTCCTGAGGCCAAACCGGGTCGTTCGGGCATAGTCCTGAGGCCAATCCGGATCGTTCGGGCGTAGTCCTGAGGCCAATCCGGGTCGTTCGGGCATAGTCTTGAGGCCAATCCGGGTCGTTCGGGCAAAGTCCTGAGGCGAATCCCGGTCGTTCGGGCTTGTCCTGAGGCCAAAGGCCAATCCGGGCCGGGGCCGCTCGCTCGCTCGCTCGCTCGCTCGCAGGCTAGGCCGCCGCAGCCGCACGCGGCCGCAGGCTTGGCCGCCGTGACAGCAGGTCCGCTCGCTCACTCGCTCGAGCGGGCGATCCTGGTCCGCTCGCCGGTTGTTCGAGCGGGCGCCCCCAAGCCAGGCCGCCGCAGACGCGCGCGGGCGCCCGCGTGGCTGCTGTGACCGCGCTCGCTCGCTAGCTCGCTCGCGCGAGCGTGCGAGCGGGCGAGTCCGCAGGCTAGGCCGCCGCAGCCGCGCGCGGCCGCAGGCTTGGCCGCAGTGAGGGCAAGGTTGGCCGCCGCGGCTGCAGGTCCGCTCGCTTGCTCGCTCGCTCGCTCGAGCGGGTGCTCGGGTCGTTCGGGCGTAGTCCTGAGGCCAATCCGGGTCGTTCGGGCAGAGTCCTGAGGCCAATCCGGGTCGTTCGGGCATAGTCCTGAGGCCAATCCGGGTCGTTCGGGCATAGTCCTAAGGCGAATCCGGGTTGTTCGGGCATAGTCCTGAGGCGAATCCGGGTCGTTCGGGCATAGTCTTGTGATGGAAGGCGCTTGCTAAAGGCCTCACATCAGTGAATGCATTAATGTATGGCTGTAATCACTTAAAAGTAAGTTAGAGGATCTTGTCAAATCTGCGCGCCCGCGGTCGGTTCGCCCCGAGCAGAGTAGGTCAGCCGCAAGGGTTGTCATGATGGACGAGCGGATCGATCATGCGTTTGGCGCGCGCGTGCTCTCCCGTGTCGCGTGGGGCAGCGGGCTTGCCCGCAGTGATGGCATTAGCCATGTGGCAATGGCAGTGGCTATATGTTAATTGCATAAATCTCCGCCCCCCCTCTTCGCCTCCCTCCCCCACCGCGCCGTGCCGCCCCGAGCCCCGCGCCTTTCTTCTCGTCCCTCATCGTCCGCGTGCTCTCTTTGAGCTCACAGTTTTAAAACGCATATGTTGTTTTATGATGTGGTTGGCCTGGTATTCGTGCACTCTTCGAATTAATCCTCGGGATCATTCCTCCATCCCGCTCGCCCCTCCTGTCCACTGTGTTTCTCCGCGTGGCCCCGCAGTTATCCGCCCGCCCGCTCGCCGCCTTCGCCCCCCTCGTCGCCTCAAACCCTCGCCCGCCCAGCTTTCTCGGAGGGAGGGCGGGGGGGTGGGGGGGTGGGGGTGGAGCACCGGTAGCATGAGCATCGGCGGTGGCAAAATCAAAAAGAAAAGCGAAGACGAGAGAGAGGAGGAGGGGCGGCACAGAACTCATGATGAAAACGAGGGCCGATGGCAAGTGGCGGGAGCGCGGCAGAGGAGGATGCGAAATCAACGGGCGGGAGGGGCGAGGGTGACGCAAGCGAAACCGAGGGCAACGCGAGAGCGGAACGGAAACGAGGGGGAGGGGGCTGGAGGGAGGAGGAAAACCGAGGAGGAGGAAGGAGGGAGGAGTGGGCGGGAGGAGCAAGGACCTTAGTCACGCCTTTCGGCGTTTCCGCCAGCCACGCGGGGCCCCCTGGTCCAATGCCAGCTCTGGCGCCAGCGCGGCGCTAACTCGGCGCGTGGCCGCCGCGACACGATCATTGTACAGCGCGCCATAACGGCATTAACGCAAGCAGCAATTGTGCGACCTGGCGCGCCGCCGCGCGCCCGCGCAACAATGCAATGCCATGCAGCGCGCTGCGCTCATATGTCGAAAACGTTGAAGTTTGTTGGAGAACTCCGCTCCTTGTTGAAAACACGCGCGCGTGTTTCCGCGAAAGCCCCGTGGTCCCATTTGGCGCCCGACGTTCCGAATAACGCGGTTTGTTGGCTCGCGGTAGATGCGCGAACGCATCGCGAGGCGCATGATGCGCCGAACATTGGCGCGCGCGCAATTCGCAATTCTGCGTGCAGCAGCGCGCGCGCTGTGCAAAGCGAACCCAAACTTGTTTGACACCTGCGTTGGACAAGCGCAATGCATCAAAAACCTTTATGCACTGCGCTTGCGTTTTCCAGGTTTTGTAAAACTGCGCCAGCGCACCGCCATGTTTTTTTTTCTTTTTCGACATCTGATTTCCACCAGTGGGCTCGGTGGGTCTGCTTAACAGCTTCTTACCAAGGGGAAGGTACAGGTACCGCTCAAAGCCTTGCATGACGTGCTCCTGGACAAGGAGCCCGATTGGATCCCAACCAATGGTCCACTCGTGGGACACAGTTTCGTGGGGACACTAGACGGACACTGGGCACGTCGGATGCAGGTGGATTTCCTCTGGGGCACTGCCGCTTTCACTTCTATCGGTCAGTGGGGGCACAAGCCGTCGGGGCCGCGCCAGAAGTTCAGGCCTACGGTTTTGGATGCCTCCTGGACGAGGAGGAGCGCACTGTCACGGTCCGCCCACAATGGGCCCACACGCGTGATCGATGGAGTCAGGACCAGATACAGGAGTCCCTGATTTGCCTCCGCTTCGACGGCGACTATCAGACCTGCCACGCAACGTTGCGTCTAGGCGATCGCATTGCCGAACCCTTTTCGGGACAATGGATGCTGCGGAGGACCTACGTCGGCACAGTTGCGATTGGAACTGATGACCATAAAGAGCAAGAGGAGGAAAGTTCGGGCTCCAGGTCACCCACTACCGCGCCCTGCGCTCCAAGGAAGATATCCTCAGGGGCGAGGCCGACTCGATCGCCTTCACGTTCAAGTTCGACGTGCCTTCCAGTGAAACGCCGCGACACTGCGGGGGCGGAAGGGCGGGCCCGACAACGGTCGACGAGCGGCGCCCCTCCTTCGGCCGTGGGAGAAAGGCTAGACTCGGAGGCACACATACAGAGGGGGCGGATCTTCCGCGTCAGCGGTTCCCAGAGGGAACGACCGCGCAGGATCTGCCGCGTCCACCTTGGCAGAATGGACGTGCAATGTGGGGCCTGCGTGGGCTGCTTTATGGAAGGAGCTATCCACAGACCCGCGGAGCGATGGGCGGCGATTCCGGTGCTCATGTGCGGCCACGCTTACGGATATCCCCACGAGGACTGCGCCTTCTGCGCCCATCTGCACGACGGAATCATAAATATGGGCGCCAAGTCCTCTAATCACATGGGCTGGCTCATGTGGAACCTCGCTCAGTGCAGGCACGACAGAATGGGGAATGCGGTGCCAAAGAGGGTTGTCGAGTTGCTGCGCCAACTTCTCTCGGCGGTATCATCCTACACAGCGGACGAGGAGCTCCTTGCGCGCACCTACACAGGGCGCCGCCCCTCCCCCACCCTCCGGGACGTCGTTGCGTCCGAAAACCTGCCCAGGCTGATTGAGACGGGACTGGAAGACTGGGAGGTCTCTTGTGCACATTGTTGCATATGCACTACGGCGGGTCGAGTACGACTCGCGGTCTGCCCGCGCTGTCGACAACCTTTTCAAAGACTTCAGGAGCGCACCCGCAAACGGCATCGAGGAGGTGCTGGGAGGACGGAGCTCGAATCGGAAGACTGGGATCACCCCCCCCCTATGCACTGGTATCAGGGGGCAACGGGTGAGCTTGATTGGCTCGACGACTGCCTGGGCCGACGGATCCAGGTTATTCAGAAGTTGCACTACTTGACGGACCTAGAGGCACTGCTGCGTGCCCCTGTGTTTACCGACGACAGACTGGGACGCGATGGCTCTTGGGCACCATGCGACATTTGCCTCAGCTCGGGCCTGATCGGGGCACATGGACGTCTACGCCACTGGAACGAGGACCAGAGGGGCCAGGAGCCTGCGCACAGGGACGGCAGACGGATGACCCACCACTGCCTCGCGTGTTGGCAGACGCACTTGAAGAGACAAGGCAGGCCTCTCACGGAGGCAGAAGCCAGGGAAGCGCTATGCCTGGTGGAACTTATTCTCGAGGAGGCCAACCGATTACGCACCCCTCGCGCGGCGCAGGACTCCCGCTTCGTGTTACAGACGAAGTACCGCCAGCACAAGTGCGACTGCTGCAGAGCAGATTTCATGCGGGGGAACCTGGTTCTAGGCCAATGGGTGGACCAGCTCAACCTTGGACTGGAGGACGGGGAGATAGCGCCACCACACAAGTCGCCACCGTTGCGAATGGATGATCACAACGCAGGGGTGGGCGACCCCATGTGGCTTTGTGTGGACTGCATTGGGCTCTGGACCAATAAGGTGCCGGAGGACGTGACCAGAGAGACTGGCCTCATCGCCCAGCTGTCACACTTGAACCCCACAGCAGTGCATCGGGCTCGGCATGGATGTGGGGGATCAACTCATCGACGGCTCACGCGACTGGGAAGGTCATCATCTGCTTCAATACGTGATAGGATCTGAAAGAAACGCGCGCGCCAGGGTTCCGCCACATTCGGGCTGCAGTGGCCCCGAGGGGCGGCGCTGTGCATGACATCTTCCCAAGGGTCATGAAGGTGCGGGAGGGCGACCAGAGACGGGGGCAAATACTGAGACGAGACTTTTGGCTGCGTGACTACATTGCCTACAGGGCAGAATCGCTCATTCGTAGGCTGGTGGGGGAGGACCTTGGCGGCCCCATCTGCTATGAAGATGATCGACGCAGGCCTGTGATCCCTGGGTTCTCCATTCTGGACGCGTGGTTCTACTGTTGGAAGTGTGGTGCCAGGAACGCGATGGTCAAGCGCACTGTGCATGACGCGATCTGCCCGACCTGTCACGGGTGGATGGATTGGAAATCGGCGCAGTGGGCGTCGGAGAATGGGCTGGCGACAGCACCAAGTCCAGACATAATTGCGAAGGACAACTGGGTGGCAGCACTTCAAGGGGAAGATCCTGGGCGAGCTCCATGGATTGCCAACGTCCTGGTCCACCGCAAGGGATTCGCAAGCTTTTGGAGATACGTGGCCTCGAAGTCGACGAATACGCCCAAGCCATTTCTGCAGAAAGGCGAGAAGCAAAGGTACTACGCAGCCCCCGAAGTTTACGTGGACAAGCATACGTCTACGGAGTGGAACATTTTCTTCCTGCTGGTACTGGAAGAATTGGGGAACAAATGCAGGGAGGCGCTCATGATGCATGATCAGGACTTGACAGCTCGCGGAAGCTGGTCTCCTCTCCCTGCCCCTCATTCAGAAGGTAGGAACTTGCGGGAGGAGATCCAACACCAAACGAAGGAGAGACATCAAGAGGTGGTTGCAGAATGGGCTCCCTCCCTCCCCAGTCGCACTTAGGCTCAAGAAGCCATGGTTTTGCTCGCTCTCCCGTACCAGCAGCAGGCAATCTCCATTCGAGACAATGGCGCGCACTACAACTGGTACGAGAGTGACCCTCACTCTAAGGGCTCAGTAGGAGGAGGCATATATGTCAAGACATTCCCAGCACACGAACGCAGTTGGTGGTGGTGTGATAAACTCAACCGCTAGAGGAGGGTCTTATGGACGTTGGAAGCTACTTCATCTATCGTCCCGGGCTGGGACATCCAGTGGTTGTGGGCGGACATGGATGCCTACGAATGCCATGAGGAGCTTCACCGCTCCTTTCCCTACGCCATGAAGGTGTGGTACCCCGACACGCACACGGCTTGCACACGGCCGAACTTTCCCTGGTCGCTCTTCCCCCTACTGAGGGGTTCACAGTGCCGAGGACACAGGTATGTCGGGGACAGGGCTACCTGACAGCTGCTGTGGGGGCTAGGCACGTGTGGGGCGCGCTCCACGGACACCTTGCGGCTCCTCCTTCGCTTCGGGCCTGGGGAGTCGCTTGGTCAAGTGGACTGCGCACTGCTACTGGGCAGCACGGTGGACGTATGTCTGTGGTACGCGTTCGCACTGGCTTGGACCATACGACATGGCGGTACAGTGTGAAGGGCAACCACATGGGGCGCGCTTTCACTGTTATGGGTCGTCGACCAGTGGGTGCTCGTTATATGCTTGTCTCCTTTCGCCATGGATGCAACGGTCGCGGACGTGCAGGGACGCCTACCATGCCATGAGGATTTCCACTATCCTTTCGCATGGCATGAAGATGTGGCACTCCGGCACGCACAGGCTCGAACATTGCCACGTTTCCCTGATCGCTCTTACCCTTGCCGAGGGCCTGCTGGGCCCAGACCCGATGGATGAATTCGGGGAGAGAACTTGCCGACGCTTGTTTGGGGCCGTACCGTACATGTGGGGTTTGCACTACGACACCTTGCGGCTCCCCCTTCGCCCCGGGCCTGGGGAGTCGCTCGGTCGAGTGGACTGCGCACCGCTGCTGGGGACAGGGTTGGCATATGACCTGCAGAACTATTCGACGAACCGACATGGGCCAGTGCAGGTGCTGGGCATAAGGACTCGATGCCCTGCATGCGGCCCCGTGGGGGGGGGGGGGGCGGAGCTGCCTGCAAGGTGCGGCGACACTCTCACTTGCGCACAGCGGTACGATGATAAGAACAACCACTTGTGGAACGCTGCTACTTTCGCGGGCTCTTCGACTGCGCATGGCTGCTGCTTGCCTGCCCCTCCTTCGCCCCGAGCCTGGGGAGCAGGTCGGCGATGGAGCTGGGCGCTGTCAACTGGGGCGGATTGTGTGTATACGATCGCTGGCATGGGCTGCCAGGAATGGTGTCAGAGATCTGCCTCGGACACTCTGCGGGCGAGTCTCCTGAGCGCGCTGGCCTTCCCCTTTCGCCTCGGGCCTGGGGAGGGCCACCCACGCGCGCGCTGCTTGCCGCTCTAGTTTTCTCCGCTGGTGCGAAGGCACCAGTTTCTTCCGTGGCTCTGCCACTGCACGCTCTTGCACGCCGGCTGCGTTCTCTTTAGGCCCCCTGCGTGCCCACGCGGGCACTTGGTAATCAATGGTAGTCCATACCGCGTTACCCTGTCACGGCTGTCGGGGGCTACACCGACGGATTTTATGGCACCAAAGTGTGAAAGACGGAGTCCAGGCACGCCGGCTTTGTCTGTGCGTGGGTGAGTGACGTGGTTGGGCAACACTTCTCTCGGGCAGGTCCTCTCAGGCTCGCGTCCAGTACAGCACGCACCTCTTATCCCTGGTCGAACGGAGATTTCTTGCAGCGTGGTACTTGCCAATGGTGGTCCACTCGATTGGTGGGGACGTGTACCTTCGGGATCTTGGCGTGTTGCCATGTCGTCTTGCACGGTTGAGTTGTGCAGCCATGTCTTACGCGGTCCCGGCAATGGCACAGTTTACTTGGGTGGATGTAGCCTCAGGGTTTGCGGCGTGCTACCGACAGCATCTTCGCATGTTCACCTCCCTATTGTTTGGTGATCAGCTTCTCCTACGGCCTCTCGGGGCATTCTGAGTCTGTGGCTACCTAGCTTGGCGCACTTGGCCTGCCGCACAGTCTGTTTTCTTTTGCGCGAGTGTAATGCTCGGTCGAATCACTATTTAGTCTTGCATCATACAGGATGTCGAATCACGGTTTCACCTTCACTGCACTACAGTTGTTGTCTCATTCGATTGGGTCAGCCTCCCGACGAGAGGCGAGCCCTGCTTGCCTTGCGAACCGGACTTCGCGTCTGCGACGACGCGCTCCCTGAGAAAAGTGTGTGTTGTGCAAGTGTTATGTGAGTTGTGCGTGTGCGTTGTGTGCATTGTGTGTTGTGCGTGTGTGTGTGTGTGTGCTTGTGCGTGTGTTCTGTTGGTTATGTGTGTACTGTGCGTTATGTGTATATGCTAACTATGTGTTTTATGTGTTTTTTGTGTGTGTACTGTGTGTTAGGTTTGTAGTGCGTGCGTTGTGTGTTACGTCTGTTGGGTGTACTGTGTGTGTGGTGTGTGGTGTGTGTGTGTGTGTGTGTGTGTGTCTGTGTGTCGTGTGTGTTTTCTGTGTGTTGTAGGTCTTGTGTGTTCTGTATGTGTTGTGAATGATGTGTGTGTATATGTGTATGATGTGTGTCTGTGTGTGTGTGTGTGTGTGATGTATGTGTCTCTGTGTTTGTGTGCGTGTGCGTGTGTGCGTGTGTGTGTGTGTATGTGTGTGTGTGTGTGTGTGTTCTGAGGCCCCAGGGGGCCCCGGGAGGCCGCAGGAGGCCTCCGGAGGCCCCACCAGGAGGCCGCAAGAGGCTCCAGGAGGCCCCAGGAAGGTCCAGGAGGCACCCAGAGGGTACGTCGGGGCTCGATTTTGCGAGGATTTCTTAGGCGAAACGGCCATTCTGTCAGACTCGGTTTTAACATCATTTGAATTACACTGTGTTTGTGATTTTTTGTCAAAATTTTGAAAAGGAGGCCCCAGGAAGGTCCAGAAGGCATCAGAGGGTACGTCGGGGCTCGATTTTGCGATGATGTCTCAGGCGGAACTGCCATTCTCTGAGAATCGTATCCAAAATCATCGAAAGTAGAATATGTTTTTGAAGGTTTTATGGTATAATGTTGAAATACCCATGTGTTTTTGGACCCTGACGTCACGATCTGTGTGAGGGATGTCACCGATTTTCAGGATTTCGAGGATGTCCCCCGCGAAACGGCCGGAAACATCGCGAACTCGGCGCGGCGCGTCCAATTATTCGCCTCTGAGCTCTACTCCCTCGCGGAGGTGCGTATGATAATATACATGTACATATGTATAAAAGTATCGTTTTATTGACACTTCTATACACACATATGCATATGTATTATCACATACCGCTAGATTAATGTACCGATATGCTGGTGGGCAGGTAATCCGATATAAAGGTAGACCGAGTGGTAGATCGGCTCCTATATCGACATGTTTACTCATCGTTATATTCACAGATACATGTATGTAGTAGCGAAGGCGATCGATTAATACACAGATAGGGATGTCGATAGCTACTCATGCATCGCAGGAGAGTTCGCTAGGTCGACAGATCGCGAGGTGGATTGAAATACATACATATGGACGTATTAACATATGGCTAGCGACATGGACATATGGACAGATAAACAAGTCAGGAAAAGGACCCGACGCCCAATCGCAAACCGAGGGCTGCACCCATGACCCCCCGACCTCATTACGGGCATGAGACGGCGCTGTGCGGGCCGCAGGACTTGTGGAGTCCGGTGAATCCAGGCCCAATGGCTGGGAGGACTCGCAGGGCTTCTTTGGATGCCCTTCAAGCGGCACCGACTGTGGTCAAGCACGCCAGCCCGACTTCATACTCGATGGCCACGACGAGTTTTGAGGCTGTCTTGAGCAGTTGGGCTACAGAAGCGTGAATCTGGCCTCACATATGGCTCCACGGCGTCTCTGCTCGTTTTTTGGCCCAAGCCTAGGTTTAGGGTCCGTGTGGTTGATCCATTGACTGGGAGTTACGGGCTCTCGTCGTCGCCGCTGCGGCGCGCAATGGGAGAGAGTGGAAGGCGCGTCTTGGTAGTTGGCCATGGGCCCATCGGGCATTCCTTCATCGAGAAGTTGGGGGAGCGCAATGCTGGCTTCGACATCTCCGTGCTGTGCGAGGAGCCGCGCCCGGCCTACAACCGCGTGATGCTGACGCAGTACTTCGCGGACCGCGACGGAGACAAGCACGACCAGATGAAATTGTCTTACTGCACTGAAGCCTCCCTCCAGGAGACCGGCGTGAAGCTCATTTATGGCCGTGCAGTCGCGGTGGACCGAGAGGGCAAGTCGGTGTCATACACGGATCCCTCGGGCAGTTCCATGTCTGTGGGTTACGATTTTCTGGTGTTCGCTACTGGCAGCTATTGCTTTGTGCCACCGACTCCAGGGATGGTGATCCCAGAGAAGAAGAACCCGCATTGGCCGGACGATCCTGCTTCGCGTCCTGACGGCGTTTTCGTGTACCGCACGATCGAGGACTTGGACGGACTTATCGCTGCGTCGAAGGGTGGTGCGAGGAAGGCAGCAGTGATCGGTGGTGGCTTGCTTGGACTGGAAGCCGCGAAGGCCGTGTACGAATTGAAGATGGAAAGCCACGTCTTGGAGATGGCTCCCTTCTTGATGCCGGCCCAGCTGAACAAAGCTGCTGGCACCTTGCTCGCAAAGAAGATTGAGGCCTTGGACATCCGGGTGCACACCGGGGTCAGGATCCTGGAGGTGGTTCTTTCCGAAGGAAGAGTGGTCGGGATCAAGATCATTGAGCATGGCACGGAGGAGCCCATCATCCTCGAGGTCGATGTGGTGGTGGTCTCGTGCGGCATCCGCCCCCGTGATGAGCTCGCAAAGGGCTGCGGCCTTGAACTTGGTGGCCGGGGTGGTATCAAGGTTGATAGTGGGCTCTGCACAGCAGACCCGTCCATCTACGCCATAGGTGAATGTGCATCGATCGATGGCAACTTCTGCTATGGTCTCTGGGCCCCTGGAGTCGAGCAGGCCGAAGTGTTAGTGAAGCGTTTGGTGGATGGCCCCGGTGCCGCTCATTACTCCCACAGCGATCTCAGCACGAAGCTCAAGCTCATGGGCGTTGACGTGGCCTCCTTTGGCCGCACGTCGGACTTCTGGTTCAAGCGGCAGTACGACGAGGCAGATGACAAGAAGGTCGTGAGCCTCGAGAATTCGAATCCTTTCGAAGGAACCTACAAGAAGCTATGCTTCAGCCCAGATGGAAAGACGTTGCTTGGTGGGTTGCTTGTGGGGGATACGAAGGACTACACGAAGCTCTTGCAGCTGAGCAAGAAGGATTCCGAGTATGTGGTCCCGGCAGTGGACTTCAAGCTAGCCGTCACTGCCAACAAGATTAAAGATGAGGCCCCGCCGCCGCCACCGCCAGCACCGAAGAAGCCAAAGCAGGAGGTGGTGCCAACTAGTGCCGACGGTCAGCTTGCGGTCGGTCCGGCAGGGGAGGGTGGCAAGCGCGTCTTGGTGGTTGGCCATGGGCCCATCGGGCATTCCTTCATCGAGAAGCTGGGGGAGCGCGACGACGGCTGGGAGATCTCCGTGCTGTGCGAGGAGCCGCGCCCGGCCTACAACCGCGTGATGCTGACGCAGTACTTCGCGGACCGCGACGGAGACAAGCACGACCAGATGAAATTGTCTTACTGCACTGAAGCCTCCCTCCAGGAGACCGGCGTGAAGCTCATTTATGGCCGTGCAGTCGCGGTGGACCGAGAGGGCAAGTCGGTGTCATACACGGATCCCTCTGGCAGTTCCATGTCTGTGGGTTACGATTTTCTGGTGTTCGCTACTGGCAGCTATTGCTTTGTGCCACCGACTCCAGGGATGGTGATCCCAGAGAAGAAGAACCCGCATTGGCCGGACGATCCTGCTTCGCGTCCTGACGGCGTTTTCGTGTACCGCACGATCGAGGACTTGGACGGACTTATCGCTGCGTCGAAGGGTGGTGCGAGGAAGGCAGCAGTGATCGGTGGTGGCTTGCTTGGGCTCGAGGCCGCGAAGGCCGTGTACGACCTGAAGATGGAGAGCCACGTCTTGGAGATGGCGCCGTTCTTGATGCCGACCCAGCTGAATAAGACCGCAGGCGCTGTTCTCGCAAAGAAGATCGAGGCCTTGGACATCCAGGTGCACATCGGGGTCAAGATTCTGGAGGTGGTTCTTTCTGCGGGCAAGGTGGTCGGGATCAAGATCATCGAAAATGGCACGGAGGAGCCTATCGAAGACGCCTACGGCGAATCACCTCCGCCCCCTGCCTTTTTGGGAAGCGCCTCTGTGGCCAATCGTTGGGCTCTAGCCTGGCCAAGCTGTCGGACTACTCCCAGCAGCTCTGGAAGCTCTTCGGGGAACACTTGGGGGAGGATGAGAGGGAGGCTCAGGAGAGGTAGGAGGACGAGGAGGAGCAGGCGGAGCAAGAGGCGGAGTAGAAGAAAAATGTCTCTTGGGACCTTCTTGGGCCACCCTTGGGGCATCCTGAAAGCTTCCTCAGAGCCTTTTGGGGGCCTCTTGGGGGCCTTTTGGGGCTTCTTGGGGGCCTCTCTGGCCGTCTTAGGGCGTTCCTGGCCCGTCTGACGCCGTCGGAAGCAGTCTTGGATGCCTCTCTGAACCGACTTTGGGCCCTCTTGGGTCGCTTCAGGGCCGTCTTGGAGTCCATCTTGGGAGTATTGGAGGCCTCTTGGGCCGTCTTGGGGCCCTCTTGGAGCCGTCTTGGAGGCTTCTTGGGCCGTCAGGGGGTCATCTTGGAGGCCTTTGGAGCCATATTGGGGCGATCTTGGAGGCCTCTTGGGCCGTCTTGGGCGTCGGAAGGCCGAAAAGAAGCAAATGCCAAAATCCTGCAAAAGCAAATGGAACGTTGATGATTTTGGCCTCTTCGGGCCCTATGGAGGACCTCTTGGAGGCCTCTTGAGCCGTCTTGGAGGCCTCGTGGGGGCCTCTTGGGCCGTCTTGGAGGCTTCTTGGGCGGACTTGGACACATCTTGGACCCTCTTGGGCCGTCTTGGAGGCCATCTTGGACCATCTTGGGCGAATTCTGGACGCTTCGCGTATCCCCACCAGCCCATCCAGGAACAATGCCCAGGAGGGCTGACAGGAGAAGGGAGGAAGAGACGCACATAGTGAAACAGCGCGGGCAACAACACTGAATTTGTTAATCTGATCTGCCCTGGCCCGTGTCGGTGTGGCCCGTCTCAATTGACCCCCGCACTGAAGTTTAAGATGGAAAGCAGTGCAAGACACGCCGTGGTGTTCCCTGTGGTAAACGTCTCTGGCGCAGATTAGAGTAGCATGCCGATGGACATCCTTGACCTTACCCTTCGCACTGCTTTGTATCTTAAACTCGCGTGCGGCTGCTGGTGCTGGTGCTGGTGCTGTTGCTGGTGGCGGTGGTGGTAGTGCTGTTGCTGGTGCTGCTGCTTGTGGTGCTCCTGCTGGTGGTGGTGGTGCTGCTGGGGCCATCTTGGGGGTAGCAGGAAGAAGAGGAGGAGGAGGAACACAGGAGAAGGAGGAGGGGGAAGAGGAGGAGAAGGAGCAGGAATGCGGGACGAGGAGGATGATGATGATGAGGAGGAGGAGGAGGAGGAGGAGGGAAGAGGCAAGAGGAGGGGGAGGAAGGAGCGGACGATGATAAGGACAAATACAAGTTGGGCGTTTGGATACGTGGTGGTGAGGGGCTCTTCGGGGACTCGTAATGCCGTCTTGGCGCCATATTGGGGCTGTCTTGGGGTCCTCTCAGGGCCTTGTTGGGGCCCTCTTGGGGCTCTTTTGGGGCATCTTGGGGGCCTCTTGGGGCTTTTTATTGGGATCTGGGAGACCTCTTGGGGTCATCTCGCCCCCATTGTTCAAACAGAGGGGGGGCTCTTAATTCGCCCTCCCCCCCCTCCTCGGAAGCCCAAACAGGGCGTCTTGGTCCCCTCTTGGGCCGCTCTTGGGCGCTCTTGGGGCCGTCTTGGGGCCCTCTTGGGCCACGAATTTCGGCCACGATCGCAGGACAACCCTGCGGGGGCTTGATGTGTCGTCGTCACGTTTGGCGTCGCCCGGGAGCGTGCTGCACGGCCGTGCACGTTCGCGAATAACTGCCCTAATTTCCGCCCCTCTTTTCCTCCTCCTTTCTCCTCCTCCTCCGTGGCCGGCGTCCTGCCGCGGCCACTTAGCTAGCAACCCAGTTTCGCTGATCGTATCCTCGGGCCTGCGGCCGGCGCAGGGGGAGGGGAAAATACTTCTCTTGTAGCGTGAGCAGGCTCCCTTTCAGGCCACGGTTCACTTCATGAGTTTGCCTATCGCAGGTCGGCTCTTGGGGTGCTCTTGGTTTGCCTGGCGAGTCTTTCAATCACATGGCGGCTGAGGTTGTGTAAGTGATATACAAGTCATTTGCTTGAAAAAAAAAGTCTTGGGGCCCTCTTGGGCGTCTCTTGGGGCTCTCTTGGGCCATCTTGGGGCTATCTTGACGCCTCAAGAGCCCATCGGAAGCGAAAAGGCGAGAAGGCAAACACCATTTGTTTTCCTCAGGTATTGGAGCAATTTTGGCCTCTTGGGGGGGTCCTTGGAGGGCTCGGACGGCACTTGGAACTGTCTTGGAGCCGTCTTGGAGCCTCTTGGATGCGTGTCGGAGGCTATCATGAGCCATCTTGAGGTATGTTGGGCCATCTTGGAGGCCATCTTGGGCTCTCTGAGGCCCTCTTGGATCCATCTTGAGCCAAAAAGGACCCTCTGACACCTCGCGGGGGAGCCCGTCCAGACGCAGGAGGGGGGGAGGTAAACCTCCCGAGCAGGGAAAGGAAGGAGGTTGGAAAAGGAAACGCTCTAGACCACCTGCGCCCAGAGGGCTGGTGGGACTTGGAGGCCATCTTGGCCGTCTTGGAGGCCATCTTGGGCCATCTTGGAGCCATCGGGAGCGGACAAAATCCTTGCAACCACATCTGGGCAAGCATTCCGGGTGGCGGGCGCAGCGGACCGAACCCCAGTGGGAGTTCTTTTGGAAAAGAACCAAAACCAAGCCCTCAGAAGTCTAGCACGCCAGGCGCCCTTGTGGCAAGACCACGGGCGGCAGCTTAAGCTGTCTGCGGCCAGACCTGCCACCGTGCCAGCTCAGAATTTTTGGTGGCGGCTGTTCGAATCGATGATGATGACGATGGTGGTGATGGCCATCAGAGGATGAGGATTAGGGGAGGAGGAGGAGGATTATTGTGGTGGACGAAGAGAAAATCATGACGGCGATGATTACGAGGACGACGACGACGACGACGACGGCGACGCCGACGACGATGATGATGACGACTATGATGATGCTGATGCTGATGCTGATGCTGCTGCTGCTGATGATGGCGCTGATGATCATGACGACGATAATGATGCTGATGAGGATGATGAGGAGGAGGAATCGGAGGATGCGGAGGAGGAGGAGGAGGAGGATGACCAGGACGAGGACGAGGACGAGGACATTAGTGATGATGAGGTGGAGGAGGAGGAACAAAGCCGTCATCTCCGCGTGGATCGCCCCGCGATTGTTTGCCTCCATCAGAGATTTACTCTCAGAGATGAGGCAGACTAAAAGGCTAAAGCTCTGAAATCAGGCCGATCAGCTTCTGCCAAGCGGTTGTTCAGAGGACGACCGTCTTGGGGATCTCTTGGAGCCGTCGTGAGGCAGTCTTGGGCCGTCCAGCGATGCTCTTAGGCCGTCCTGAGTCCCTCTGGAGGCCCTCGTGGGCCAGCTTGAGGCCCGCTTGGATCCGTCCTGAGCCGTCCGGGTACCCTCTTGGGCCGTCTTGAGGCCGTCTTGGAGGCCTCTTAGGCTATCGTGAGGCTCTCTTGGGCCGTCGTGTGCCCATCTTGGAGACCACTTGGGCCGTCTTGAGCCGACGGAGGCCCGAAAAGACGAGAATGCGAACAACTTTCAAGAACCAAAGGCGATCAATGATTTTAGCCTCAGCAGGCCTTGGTGGAGGTTATCTTGGAACTCTCTTGGGCCGTCTTGACGGCCTCTTGGACCTTCTTGAGGCCATCTTGAGCCGTCTTGGGGTCATCTTGGGCTGTCTTGGAAGCATATTGGGCCATCTCGGCGGCCTTGGTGGCCTGCCAGGTCCGTCTTGGCAGCCATCTTGAGTATCGTGGACGCCATGGAGAGCGCCAGAGAGGCGTCGGGGAATCCAGGGAGCCTCGGGAATGGCTGTTCCAGCGGCGGGGCGCAAGTGACGACGACGACGACGACGACGACGACGACGACGACGACGACGACGACGACGACGACGACGACGACGACGACGACGACGACGACGACGACGACGACGACGACGACGACGACGACGACGACGACGACGACGACGGGGGGGGGCGGTGCATGTGCGTGTCCGGCCACTTGGAAGATCACAGAAGCCATACCAGACAGCACTTGGCATTCTACCACGCCTCAAGGTGCCATGGGGCACGGTGGCGGATCGTCCTGGACGTCGATATTGTGGTGGTCTCTTGCGGCATCCGCCCCCGTGATGAGTTGGCAAAAGGATGCGGCCTAGAGCTTGGTGGCCGGGGCGGTGTCAAGGTTGACAGTGGACTTCGCACCGCAGACCCGTCAATCTACGCCATAGGTGAATGCGCTTCGATCAACGGCAACTTCTGCTACGGTCTCTGGGCCCCTGGTGTCGAGCAGGCTGAGGTAGTGGTGAAGAATCTAGTGGATGGTCCAGGATCAGCCGAGTACGCTTCCAGCGATCTTAGCACGAAGCTCAAGCTCTTGGGTGTTGACGTAGCGTCCTTTGGTTCTCACAACGACTTCTTCTTCAAGCGCTGGTTCGACGACAAGGATCCCGAGGTCATCTCTTTGGAGTGTTCCAACCCATTGACGGGCTCTTACAGGAAGCTTTGTTTCAACTCGGATGGCACCAAGCTCGTGGGAGGTCTCTTGGTCGGCGACGCCAAGGATTACACCAAGCTTCTGCAGCTGAGCAAAAAGGACGACCTGGGCGATCTCGATCCCGAGAGCCTCACCTACCAGAGGCCGCCTCCGGGGGATGGCGGCGCTGCGCCTGCGGACGGCGGCGATGGCACCGGCCTAGCCGACGACGACTTGGTCTGCACGTGCATTGGGCTGTCCAAGGCCGACGTCGCGAAGGCCATCATCGATAAGGAGGCCACAACGATCCCGCTACTCAAGAAGGCCTGCAAGGTAGGCACGGGATGCGGTGGTTGTGTCACGCCTGTGGGCGCGGTCCCCAAGATCCTCGCAGCCACGCTGAAGAAGCTTGGGAAGACGGGCCCTATTGGGATTTGTGCCCACTTCCCTTACAGCCGTAAGGAGCTCTTCGACATTGTCAGGATCAAGAAGCTGAAGACCTTCCCGGATGTGCTGAGCGCGGTGGGAAAAGGCAACGGCTGCGAGCTCTGCAAACCCATCTTGGCGTCCATCTTGGGTGGTCTCTGGAACGAGCACATCCTAGATAAGGGCCGGGACGAGATCCAGGACACGAACGACAGGTTTTGCGGAAACATCCAGAAGACGGGAACGTATTCCGTGATTCGTTGGCTTATGTCGCCCCGCCGACCCTAGGCCCTTCCTCCCTTCCCTTCCCTTTCCCCCCTCCCCACTCGAATGAACTTGTGTGAAGAGTGTGGTGGAGAAACGAAAGAAACGAGAAGAAGGAAGAGCTTGGACAGTCTTGGAAGCCATCTTGGGCATCTTGGAAGCTTTTGGGAGCGCCAGGGACGCGTCGATCCTCGATTCTAGAGTCCCCGGACAAGTTCGGAGCAACGACGACGACGACGACGACGACGACGACGGCGACACCGCCGAGTAAATCTTCGAGAGGACTCCTTCCGGGGAGGGCCAGGGGCAAACATCTAGGGAGGGTGAGTGTACGAAAATCTAGGGAGGGCTAGGGCGCTGAATGGGGACTAGGGGCTAGGGAGGGGTAGGGAGGGCTAGGGAGGGCCAGTGTGGGGAAAGCTAGGGAGGGCTTGGGGGGGAGGGCAAGAGGCTAAGGAGGGCTGGGGAGAGCCAGGGATGGCTCGGGCTGAGGCTCGTGCTAGGGCTCGGGGTCTGTCTCGGGGCCGAGTTCGGAAGAGGTCCGGCGTTCCCGGATCATATATCATATATTGTCTTTCATAAAGCTAGAATCCACGTATTCCCCCAGCAGTGCTTGCAGTAAGAGGTTCCTAATCTTTTGTTCGCCATAAGTGAGGCTGGCAGCACGCGCATTCGGAACAATCGGGGGGTGGCAACCCCCCTCAATGATCGGGGGGGTGGCCCGATCGGTTGTGGCGACGGAGGCTCCTCCGAGCGCTCCTGCGCGAGGTCTTCAGAGGCGTCAAGATGCTAAGATGCTCCTGCGCGAGGTCTCCGGAGACTCCACACGGTCTGATCAGATGCCGAAGCCGGCCTCAAGACGGCTCACGAGGCCGCTAAGGTGCCCTCAAGAGAATCCCCAAGAGGGTTTTAGGAGGCAGAACACGTGGATTTTCTGTTGGTTTCTGAAGAATTCTTTACGCTTCGCGTATCCCCACCAGCCCATCTCACAGCAGCAACTCTCGCGAAGCATGCCGACAGTCGTGTTTTTCAGGCGTGTGTCCGCTTGGCCCCGCATATCTCCCCTGTTCCTCCTTCCTCCCGCCTCCTTGTACATCCTCCTTGTGAGGGGAGCGGGAGAAGGACGAGGCGGAGGAGGAGGGAGAGAAAGCGCTCCTCGTGATTTGAGTCGTTTGGGGTTTCTCGTCCTGGTGTGAGTCGTTCGGGCTGGTGTGAGTCTTCGTCCTGGTGTGAGTCGTTCGGGCTTCTCGTGGTGTGAGTCGTTCGGGGCCCGCGTCGTGGTGTGAGTCGTTCGGGCTCCTCGTGGTGTGAGTCGTTCGGGCGCCTCGTCCTGGTGTGAGTCGTTCGGGCCCCTCCTTGTGGTGTGAGTCGTTCGGGCTCTTCGTGGTGTGAGTCGTTCGGGCCCCTCGTCCTGATGTGAGTCGTTCGGGCTCCTCGTGGGGCCTCTTGGGGGCCTCTTGGAGCCTCGTGGGGCCTCTTGGGGGCCTCGTGGGGGCCTCTTGGGGGCCTCTTGGAGGCCTCTTGGGGCCTCTTGGGGGCCTCTTGGGGGCCTCTTGGGGGCCTCCTGGGGGCCTTTTGGAGCCTCTTGGGGCCTCTTGGGGGCCTCTTGGGAGCCTCTTGGGGACCTCTTGGGGCCGCTTGGGGGCCTCTTGGGGGCCTCTTGGAGGCCTCTTGGGAGCCTCCTGGGGGCCTGGGGCCATCTTGGGGCCTCTTGCGACCTCCTCAGAAGCGCAAATGAGCGCTGGCCCCTGAGAAGGACAAAATGAACCCAAAACCTTCGTAACGTGAAGGATTTTGCTATGAAGGAAGAGGAACGCGGCCCCCGGAGAAGGCCAAAATGGGGCCGAAACCGTAGTAGAATCAATGATTTTGGCTTCCAAGAAGAGGAGGTGATTTTTTCTCCGTCCCCCCGTCGGGGCCAGAATCCTCGTGAGGGGTGTCGTTTTTTTAGCCCTCCCAGGAGTCGAAATTGACCCCCTTGACGACCCGCCGGACTCCCTCTCCAGGCCCAGGGGGAGGGGGTAGGGGGAGGGGTAAACCCTTCCCCGAAGGGGAAGAAGGGGGGTAGGGGGGTGGAGAACAGAGAGAGCTCTCTAAACCACTCACGCCCAAAGGGCTGGTGGGATTACAAGTCCGTTTTTGCCAGGTTCGGCGATGTCAACATCCAGAGTGGGACGGACCTGACGAATCAGCATACCGCCTGGTACCTGGGCATGGCGTTTCCGTTCACGCTGCCGCGTGCTGTTGGCGGATACGACGTCCCGCACCAACCTCGTTGGCGTCGACCAGAGACGAAAGATCTCCCAACTCCACGTGGGCTTCTGCACAGGTGGCTGGAGCCGTCAGTGGGCGTAGCCCAGCGGAAGCTACCGAACGCGCATTTTGCAATGGGGCCAGCGACCACAGTGAGGTTGTTCGATCTCACGCGCGGCTTGCCGCAGCGGATTGAAGGCCAGTTCCGACGCACTTGGGGGTTTGCGCCGGCCTTGTGGAATCTTTATTTTCGTGAACGCGTCAATCTCGGAGCAAGCTTGAGCATCAAGAGAGAACGTTTGCAAGGCCAAAGCGCAGAGAGCGTGGAGACTGACGCTGCCATTGCCGCTGCCGATTTACTCCAGAAGCTCGAGAAGGGTTACTACACGTTACCCGATGGCAGACGCCGAAAGATCAACAATGATGCCAGTAAGCTGATTTTCGCAGTCGGCCTCGGCAATCTGCAGCGGCGACTCTTAGCTGATTTCCGCTTTCGATGCCGGGCCATTCCAGGCACGCAAGGGATTCGGACGAAGATTGGGCACCTGGGGATCTGGGCTTGCGTGAATTATGGGAATGACATATTCTGTACTATTTCCCCAGGAGAGCGGCACAATTATCTAGCGCTCAGGCTCAGCAGGTACCGCCAGGACGATCCCTTCGTTGCAAGCGAGAGCAGGAGACAGCAGTGGGCAAGAAGCGATTCGCCGAGCCTGGAGCCGTCGCCAGAGGACGAGTTTGAGGTCCACATTCCTGGATATGACACGCGTCGCTTGTTCCTCGCAGAGGACCCCTTGGCCGCCTCCAACGCATTCTTCGTGCAGATCCGCACGGTCTTGGCGACGATGCTCGGAGTGCGCATGTGCCCTCGCTGTCCGCAGCGCTCTGAGTCTGGATCGCCGTGTCAGGACGCCCTGGGCAGCAGCGCTGAAGCCATGGGAGGCATTGCTGGGCGCGTGGACGCTTTGTTCGGCGCCGTGGAGGCTCAGAAAACGACGGGGGGGCTGCATGATCATTTTTTCATGTTCGTTCAGCGCCTGCGCCAGTTCGCCACACTGAAGGAGATCGCGCAGAAAATCGAGGAAGGTCTCGTGAATGCGACGGAGCTGAAGCATTTCCTCGGGCAAATATGTCGTGAGAGATACCCCGACGTGGACCAATTTGCTAGAGAGGGAACTTCGCTGGAGCAGAACTTCCCGACATACTCGGAGTCGTCCGAATGCTCTGGATCGTCAGCGTGGGGGGAGTTGAAATTGGGCCGCTTGCCTCGGTTTTTGTATGATGACGCGCGAGCTGGTCCGCGCTCGCCCGCGCAGGGGGCTCCAGGGGGAGCTCAGAAGCTCGGCCTGAACTGCGACGACGCCACTTTCAAGAGGAAGTTCAACGGCGCTCTACAGTATTTCATGCGTCGGTGCCAGCGCCGCATTCATCGACTGGTGATGGATTCGAAGACCAATCAGGAGAAGCGTTCGGTGCCCAACGCCTGCGCCTCCAAGAAGAACAAAAGAGAGTGCAAGCACGAGGCGCCGTGGACCAACAGAGTGTCTCCCGAGTGGATGACGGCGCCGCTGTTGGTTTGCAAGGGCATCGCCAAGAAGTTCACTTTGCGCGCAAGCGGAGTCCGAAATTGGCTGGGGCAAATACTCGGACTACGCAATGAGGAGTGGCTGAACGGGTGCATGCCGGGCCTGTGCGTCGCTTTTGCAGGGGGCAACAGTGACGTGAAACCCAATGACCGACTGCCGATCATCGAGCAAACGCATGAGACTTGCTGCAAGAAGAAACGCTGCATCATGAAGAAACAGAGTCTGGGGAGAGCCACTCGAGCAATTCAGCGCACGCAGGTAGTTACGAATGGACATTTCGGGGGATACATTGGCAAGCGACAGCCTGCGGGCACTTTGGAGACCAAGAAATGCGTAGACAAGCTGTTTACCTTGAGGGCGAAGATACAGGGCAGGGGGAAAGCGGCGCAGCTCAGAGCAAGCAGCGGGAGACTGATAACGGAACTCGAGATGAACAGCACGTGCCGAGGCGCCGTGGAAGTGTGCAACCTGTGTTGTAATCTGGACCAGAGCGACCTTCTGAAGGCAGAGTGCATTCGGACCTTCCACGAGCATACGATTGATGGGCGGGCGTGGATGAACAAGTTGGAAACATCTCAGAATGGGTCGCAGATGAAGGGCAGCAGCGTGACGACGCACGCGCCGCCGGCTCGCAAACCTCACGTGAGAACAGACCGATCGAGAGTGAGCGAGTTCGGCGCCTACGGATTTCGCCCTGTGCAGCACCCTTGGAAGTTGTTGTCGGCGCATGAGTTCTTGCGGCAGTGGAGGTGCGAACCACTACTAGTTCCGACGCACTACTTGAACCGCAACCTGGCACCGCGAACTGCGCGGACAAAAGAAGACCAACAATTAATCAGGAGCAAACAGTACAAGGATGGGGAAGTCGCCGCCGAGCCTGGAGAGCATTACATAGCAGTGACACCCGAGGCCGACGAGTATTTCGTGTTTCCGCAGGACGCAGGTGTCTTCTGCCACTCATGGGTTCTGGTCAGGAAAGCGAGGGCGGACGTGGTGGTCATCGAAGGCTTGCCCATGCCCAGCGTACACAAAAGTTCTACGTACAACGCTCAGTATTGCAGTTTATTTTTCCGTCCCTGGACGCTCTATGGAGGAGACGTGACTGTGCCTCACCTGAGCATGTTGGGGATGGAGTTAACGGTACTGCGGCATTGGC